TGGATGGAACAATTTGTTAAAAAATGTCCAAAGCTAAACATTAAGCTGTAAAAAATTAACACAGGATTGAGGTGAGTTCAACTTTATCTAAAAAAAAAAAAAACGAATCACTAAGAGGCACCAAAAATCAGTACAAAATAAAGTCTGGTAAAGAAATAACTTCTCACAGTAACTTAATAGGTTCACATAAAAAGTGAAACAGTAAAAAAGTGCACTGTCTCTGATTTAGATTACTGTTTGCTAAAAATGTTTCACCCTTCAACAGAGTGAAATTGATAGACTGTTTATATATCCGGTGATAAAAGATAACACTAAATAACCAAACTAATAGCTAACAGCGTAACTCTGCGATCATAAGATTGTTCATGGAGTGGATAAAACCTGCAGTGTTGATTGTAATTATTTTTACTTTTTCAGTTTATTACACTTAAATAACCTAAACTGACAGTATTAGTTAATAAATCTAATTAGTTCATACTAATAGATGTATAGATGTGCACATGTTACACACTTGTACTAAATTGTATAGGTACTAAATTAGAATAAAGATATTGGTACTACTTACAATAGTTACAATATAGCAAATTCGAGTACTCAGAGCCTTGGAATGAATACTTATGTTGAAGATTAAGAAAAAATCGGATAAATGGAGAGATTTAAAAAATCTGTGTTATTTTTCACCAATAAATTACTGTGAGAGAGCCTGCATTTTTCTAAACTAAGCTATTTTGTTACAACTACTTTGTTCTTTCACATACAGTAAAGTACAAAAATATTCTATTTGTCTATTTTGTGGAATGTGAGATCTAACTGCCTCAATAAAAACATCGGCTTCTATAAAAAGTACAGTCTTACTTATTGTAAAACCTACAAAAGTACAAAAATCTATGAAAAATTAACAGTTACTTGCTTAACTAATTTATTTAGTCATCAAAACCATTAAAAGGGTAACTTTAACTTATTTTTTTAAATAACAAAAATTTGATGGGTTTTCATATCTACACATTTTCAGACAGGTAATGTTTTAAGTTATTAAACTATTACAAGCCTACAGCTGTCAGCTGAATGTGTTAAGAAATGGCTGTAAAATAATACAAAATGTACAGAATGAAGTGTTTTAGAAAGTAAACATTTCCTCAGTTTCTGCATTTGTGAATTAATAAAAAAGTACTATTTTAATTATTATACTGTATTGGTTAATTTATTATTAGTAGGCTACAGTACTCACAATGAATAAAAAGTAGTTATCAAAATACAAGGTACAATCTGCGAATGTTACAGAAACTGAAAATAATAGGTAGTCTTTTCCGATGAAACACCTGCATAAAATCCTGCTGTATCGAACAACACCCACTAATGAAGAATTTTCAGAATTGAAACAACTAGGAAGGATTGCAAAAAAAAAAAAAAAAAAAAAAAAACTAAGTCTCATAGTGGTCTCAAAAAATGAACAAAGGGACAAAATGCTCCAGGGTTGCAGAGAACAGAAACCTTGGTCCAATCTCTGGGATCAGCTCAATCTAACAGGCAAGACTATTCCGTGCCTCAGAGATGACAAACCTACCAAGAAAAACAATGTGATGAGATTTTCTAAATTCCTGCCACAAAGATACAAAAAATATTATTAAGCTAAAGCTAAAAAATAGTATAATGTAGTACCTTCTTATATTGGTATCCTAGGGTTCAGTAATCTGGCATGATTTTTTTTATTCATGGGTCCCTGCTTCCTAGTAAATTGGTTTTACAAACTTCCATGATTATATTTAAATTTTTAAATTGAAAGTTTAAAATATAGTCAATTTTTTAAAAGTTTGATTCCACATTCTTAAATTTAAAATTTCTTGCTACTTAGGCAATATTAGTTAGTTATGTTCAAATCCTTACTATGTTTCTAGTTAGTATTTTGTTCAGATACCAAAGAACTGATACAGTAGAAATTTGTTTACACAACCTTCAATGACACAACAACCTTTTTTACAAGGGCACTTTTCAAATCCCCTTGAAAACCCCATAACACTCAATGTTAAAGTAACCTCTATAATACAACTAGTTCTATTTGAAAAACTTTAATAGGCTAAGACGCTTTTTCCCAAATCGTGAGGCAACTCAAAACCTCTATGACAAGTTGTTTTGAGAAGTCAACCTTGGTCTTTATATATGAAACAGTTTCCACAGAAATTCACCAGAATAGATATTTTGGAGGAAACAAAGTCAATCCAGCCTAGAATTAGTAAAACTCCTACTCCACTACCATTTTTCAGAAAAAAAGATTTATCTTCCATAGATCAGTAACCATTGTAGTCTTTACTAAATTATCCGTTGCTTTATCTTAAGTTTAATAGTTTAGGTTTAGTTTGTTTATTTTGGTCTTAAATGGATAACTGTACTTGATGGTGCCTTGGACCACAGCCACGTGAGCAAGAAAAAAAATCAATGAATTTTGATTGGTAATGTATGTGACAGGACCCTCAACAAGAAGAGCACCTTGATAACAAGACTATTTCCCTAATCTCCTTGATACACGTCTTATCGAGGCTCTACTGTAGTTTTATGCATTTTATACTCTGTAGAACTCTGTGTATAACTGTTCAACATATATTTTATTTTAAAGCATAAGAATAGTAAATATTCTAGTTCAAACACATAGTTCAACAATAGCTTTAATTAAACAAAGATTTTTGTTAATTCCTAAAAACAAGTAAATTTTCCACCTTCATGTACATTTTTATAGTTTTTACATCATAATTAATAAAGATGGAATGTATCTTTCGAAACTGAGCATTCCCTTAATACTAAGGTCACAAAGATTTTGTTGCTTATAGTATTGATTGAGAGAATAAAGAGCATACCAATAGGCCTACAGCACATTTAGCTCAGTAATGATCACACAAAATGCATTACTTACACAGCTGAAATATGGTTGAAACTTAATAGCCTTTTTACAATAACTGCTATTATGCTAATCTATGATATAATTTATAAAAAAACAATCTTTAACTATACCTTAAACATTTATGTGCAACTGAATAAAAAGTCATCTGAAGTATCTACTTGCAAAAACAGGTTTGGATTGAATAGTGGAATGAGTGTAGCAGCAAAAATATAGTTATTTTAAACGTTGTAATCTGATTGTAAAACACAAGACTAACATTTCATTAACAATGTAACAAAAAAATGTCAGAATTTGTACAGAAATAAAAAAGTCTAGCTTTCAGTTTTCATTACTATTCTGCAAAAATAGGCCTAAGTCAAAAATACCTACATTAAAATTTTTATCTACACATTTTAAAAGGCACATTTTAAATATTTCAGCCCATGATTATACTGTATGTGGGAGCTAAAGGTTTGTTGTTATTACCGTATCCCTTACCAAGCCTTGAATTATGTAAATATACTTTAAGGTATAATACCTAAACATTTTAAAATGAATACTGAGAAATTCCATTGTAGATGGCCCTGAACTATTTTTTGACTAAAAAGGTAATATGCGCACATCATCAGGTTGTCCCTGGTGTATGCATATCACTGACCAAAGGAGCTGAGCCCTTTTGTTAGCTTTGACAATGTCTAATAATGGCAAAACATGTGTCATAGTGAAATCTTCATGTTCTGAATTACATTGACCAGGCAAAGTACAAATTCTAACTATACTACCAATTACACCAAGTTATTACATTGTTTATGCAATAGTTACAAATAATGTAATTTTGTTATAAATAATGCCCACAGATGAAGCACTCTCACTCATTCCTCTTCACACAATCTTGGGTTTTTGCATTCAACGTTTTTGTTCTATAAAAATACGTACAGATGAACAGTCTCATGTTACTTAAAAAGACAGTTATGCACAATATGTGTCACTTCAATTAGATAATATATTTTATCAAAACTTGTTATGTTAATTGATCTAATTTTTAGTTAGTACTAAATTCAAATTGTTGTCAACAACAAATGATGATACTATTGTTGCTTCAAACAAGACGGCAGATAGATGATTTATTACAGTGAGATCAAGGGGTTCTTATTGAGGATTGGCCATTGTGAGTGCCCTGCAATTACACAGACTGTGAATTATATCATTGTAAAAGATTGGGAGAACCAAACCTTTCAACAGATGGTTCTGCAAGTATTGGTGCAACAACTGTACATTAAAGATATATCTTGTTTAACGTACTGATTTAATCTATGACACGAAAGTAATAACTTAAATGGTTTATGACTTACGAGAAAAATATTTTGTTGGTAACTTGAAGTATTTTTAAGGTAATATCTCTTCATTTGCAAATAAAAAACCAATGCAGGTAACGAATTAGCATTTAAGTAGATTAAACAAAGGAAAACCACCTTCATAAAAAAATTATTTAACCAAGAAACATTTCATTATAAACTATAACTATAGAGAGCTACCTATATCAAGAGATTCACAATTTAAATATTAAGTAGAAAGTTAGGTACAAAAGAAGCAGCTAAAAATTAACTAACACTAGTATAAAATAAAATTACACCTATGTACAAATAAAGCATGTTTGTAGCAACTATACAAGTAAAGAAATCTTTTATGTATGGAAATTGTTGGCAAAATCACTTATGCAATAATAAGTATTACAAAATTCAAAGCTTAGACTTTTTGTTAGTTATCAACTACAAATTTGCCGGCTTCTGAATCAGATAGCCTTAACTCAGCATATATTTAAATTATTAACAAGGTTTTTGTATGTTATTTTTAAATATTTTAATATCCACACCACTAACATTTTGTTAGGAGGAACAATAAACACTTTAAATTTTTAAGGAAAGCGTACCAGTGGATTGAGTATTGAAATTAATTATATTTTGTATGTGTAACGTGGATTTGGTCAGCAGCGAATTGTATGAAATTCTAAAATAAGAGCCATAGTACTTACTGAGCCCAGTTTTTTATTTAGTCGTTATTATTTGAAAAGCCAAATCATTCCTACTTGGTTTACATATACTATACTACTACAGCATGGGTAAACTGATTTAGAATCAATGTAATGCAAATTAACAAAAAAAAAAAAAAGCCAAAGAGATGAGGGGTGTTAACAGCAAAATGATCTGATTTGTGATAGATGAGTAGACATGTTCATATCTGTGTGTTGTATGAAGTATTATCAGGAAAAACAAATGGTTATGGTATAGTTTATAGTTGGTATAAATGTATGGCAAGAATGTGGATTTTTCATTAATAGCTATGGTTGTATCCTGCAGTTAGTGCTAATGATAACAATATTTTATTAACAATATCATTACTTGTACTTGATTAAGTTGGCTACATTTCAGATCTTTATGGGAAGCAACAACAGTAATAAACTAGTCAAAGGCATTGTAAACATTAATAATAGTAATAATATTATATACTATTAAGTAGATTATAATTTTATATATATATATACAATCAAAAAGTTGCCTAGGAATATAAACCCTGAACACTTAAAACTTGTACATTCCTTACAAAGCCGTTTCTAATGGTTTAAATGTTTTCAATGCCCTTAAAAAACAAATTGTATTCTTATATCAATGCCAATAATTATATCACAAAAAATTGTTTATTTGTGAAGACTGACTTTAAAAACGACAAATTTACATAAAATAACCACCTAGGACAAAAGTAATTGACAAAAAATTAAGACTATCAAATAGTTTAAGCCATATTTAAGAACCAAAACATTTAAGAACTTTTCATTTGTAAACATTCTTAGTTAAATTTTTGTTTTTTATTAAATTATCGTATGATCAACTAGCAAATAGTTTCTAAAGTTTAAACTTTGCTGTAACCTATTAAAAAAATTATCTTGTTGGGTAAATTACTTTTTAAATGCTGTGAAACCTAATATTCATAGATGCCATGTTGTTATGTATTACATCACAATAATAAGCAACCAAGACATTATAACAATGGAATAACAATTGGAATTAACTTTTACAGTAAAGTATATTCTACATATTGCATAATGTACAAAGTCCTACATTGATTCAAGGTGAGATTCAAATGAAACAAAATTTAATTTGAGATTCAAAATTCTTGGAATTGACGATAATTTTACACAATCCAAGTCAGTAGAAAAAGATATCCTACAGATACAAAATACAATAGTGTTGTAATTTGTGATGTACAGAAAATAAATTAAAAATTAAAGGCGCAACATTGGTAATTAGCGTATAACAGCCTTCAACACATACATATTTTCCTTTACACACATCCAAATTTGCAGGAATCTCTTTTTGTTTTTGATCTGGGTTTATGAGTGTAGTCAAGCAGCATATCCAATTAGTAGAGAATTGCTCCAAGAATACACAGGGTCAGTTTTTTAGGAGTATAAATGATCTAATTGCTATATGAAACAGGTAGAGCTATGTTGAGCAGTTTAGAGTGCAGTTGTCTCTACAGTCTTGTATAGGCACTCAGGACTAGACTTGTTTTTCTCGTGGATTGACACAAGAACAGGACTGGAAGTTCGCAAAACTTCTGGTGTTGCTATTTCAGGGGTAGTAGACTCAGATGAACTTCCACTCCTCCCTAAGAAAAAAATTACATTAAATCTATAAAGAAAAATGTATTAAAATTAGACAAAAATTTACTTTGGGTACAGTTTTATTGTGTAACTGAAACAGAATCACTGTCTCCCGTGACAGCGAAGAAATCCTAAATATCTCTATCGGTCACGAAAACAGTATCAACGTCTTTCGCAATTGCAAAATCCTGAATATCTCCCATGGTTGTGTGGTCATCGTCGTCACCCTCGGTCTCAGAAACGTTATAATCGTCATCTCCCGTGCTTTTCTAGACATCATAATCATCTCCGGCAGTCACGGAAATGTCATCATAGTCTTCCACCATCATGGTAAAATCCTGAATATCTTCCACGGTCGTGTGCATGTATTAATATTGTCTACCATGGAAATCTTCTTAACCAACCATCTGAAGTTTTCGGTACTGACACATTTAAAGTTTTCAACGAATATTTTATTTGATTGAATTGCTCACTCCACAAAGAAGCCGAAATTGTGAAATAGCGTTTCAATAAAAAATCAATATTAGAGTTGGAGTTCCAGGTAATAAATAAATAAATAAATAAATGAATAAAAATGCATTTATTAACGAGCGTCTTTCAGTAACTCATGTCAATATAACTGACTTAAAATACCCCTGCCACAGCAAACCTGCAGACTAAGCGAATTTCAACTTGTCTGATTACATTTTTACTAAAATATTTCCATAAAATAAATATTTATTCCCAATTTAAATAACATTAGATTTAACGAGTGCTTAGGTTTGCTGCTACGGGGAAGGTAAAAAGTGTTTTTGACCATACGCGAATAGTATAGGATGAAATAACTAAATTTGCCAAATTTGTTCAACATATATCCATAAACAAGTAAACTACAACAGTTTCCATTTTCTCCATAAGAATAACATGGGAATTTTAAATTACACTTTTTTTTAATTTTCTCCGTGACCGTTAGGCATACAACAGCGCTTCAATATACTAAATAATTTCTTTTTTAAATCTCTACAAAACGATTTAGAAAGAAATTGCAAAATTTTTTGTTTTTAGGGTTAAAAATTGGAAAACCCCATTTTTACCCCATAAAACCCCCCATAAACCCCTGTTCCCATGGTCCGATTATGCTGGTTCACGAACTCGTCCGAATAAACGTAGGTTTACACGTTTGTACCAAATTTCATCAAAATCGGATCATTTTTACTAGAGTTATTGCGCTAACGGACACGTAAGCCCCGTTCACACGGGGCGAGTTTACAAGCTACACGCCCGCTTTTTTACACGCAGCTAGTAAAATAGCTCAGTGTGAACGACGTACTCGCTCAAAAGCTGCTTGTAAAAAAGCTCTGGAAAAAGTTGACGCTGCCGCTACTTTACACGCCAACTCGCCAGCGTTTGAGCGAGTAGGCGTGTAAAGTAGCCCAGTGTGAACACAGTTGCTTGTGCTTGTGCGCTTGTTACTCAAAGATGTTGGAGGATTTGGTTCAAGCCAGCTACTGAGCGAGTGGAAAAAGCGTCGTGTGAACGACTACAAGCGCACTCGCCGACTCGCCGGCGTCTTTCTCCACGTCGGCGAGTTGGCGAGTGGACAAGCTCCGTGTGAACGAATACAAGCACACTCGCCAAATCGCCGGCTTCTTACACGCTGGCGTGTAGCTTGTAAACTCGCCCCGTGTGAACGAGGCTATATATATGAATTTGAACGGATGGTGTTTTTGGCCTCTGGGGACCTCAAAACGAAAAAGTTAATCGGTCCCGGGCCCCGGGTCTAGGTCTTACCATGAGACCTACGGTAATAGCTTATTTCCTAAATGGGAAATTCTCTAAAATATACAAAAAATATGATACAAAAATAATGTGTGTGACAAAACAAAATTATAGGCTATATACAAGATTTTACACCTTTTTCACTTTTCTTTTGAAAGCCAGGACCCCCAGCTGTTTTAGGTCCAAGAGGAGATCATTGTATATCTTTGAGCCAAAGTAAGAAAACCCTTTTCTACCCACTTCTAGTCTTACTTTTGGAATGTGGAGCAAGGCGTTTTGCCGGGTCACACGCTGAGTCACCTCTCCACGTTCCACAAGCCTTTCCACCAAGTACTTAGGCTCTTGTTGAACCAAGACCCGGTGGATGAGGCTACAAGTCTGCGCCCTGCACACGGCACCCATTGACAGCAACCCCGCAGCATCCCGGAATGGGGATGGATACCGTAAACGAAACGAATCGCGGAGTTCTGCACTTTTTGCAATCAGGACATCTCTTCCCTTGCGATGCTAAAAATGAGGATGTAAAGGCTACACCCCCCCCCCCCTTTCATTGTTGTAAACAACTTGTGAAACGCCACTACACCGTTACTTAGAATTGCCGAAATCAATAACAGTAGAACCTTCTGGAGTTTTTGCCTTCCTTATATAAGAATGCTTTCACAAACCAACAGTTAGTGAGAAGTTGAAAATGGCAACAGCCGAAACGTGTGTCCTACGAAGACGGAAGAATAGAATGGGATTATATGTAATTTATAAGGACATAGTCTGATATTTAAGAACAAATTCCATAAGTTTCATGGCCAGCCCAAAATTAAGTACGATTCCCGGTTTTCCTAGTTGCTAGATACCCTGTTATAATAAATATTTAACTTATATCACGATTTAAATTTCTGTTTAACGAAGATATTACCAACTCAATTTTAATAACACTAAACTAGTTCATTTTTACAAATATTTTATAAAATTGAAATATCGAGTCCTTAAAAATGATTTTTTTAAAGGAAGCAGTTTTGGTGTTGTTGAGCTAAAAAACTATTTCACACAAAGAGTACATACCTGTGTAATGGTAGATGTCAAATTCTAAATCCTGTGGCAAGGATTTACCAACAGATAAATGCATAGCAAGTCCTTCCAGCCACACTTCCATCACTTCAAATGGTGGCCTACAAAATGGCAATAAATTATATTTAAAACAGACTAAAATGACATCACTATACATTACAATTACAAAATCCAATTAAATGTTGACAAAAGAAAATTATAAACTAAAAAGGGGGTACTTTGGTATTATACCGACCACACCGATAAATTGACTTCCAAATAAGATTTTAATTGGTTTAAATAACAAAATCTTCCTAACCTAACCTAAAACACAGTCCACCATTAGGTTATAATTATTAGGTGTGATCAGTATAATACCAAAGTACCACTAAAGGATTTTGGTTTGTGAGAGATAATGTTGTGAATTTATCTTATATATATATATATATATATATATATATATATAAAGGAAACTTGAAAACTACATCCACATGCACTGATTCACAGTTCATCACAGTAAATTGCTATTGCTCGTGGTCATTTAAAAAAGATAGGCCTACACCAAACAAAAGATTACTCATGAATAAATAAAACTCAGTAATGGCTCTCCAACTTATAGTGACCTACTTCTCAAACTCAGCAAGTAACTAGATACCTCTGTCACTATCAGCTGACCTCAGGTCAACATTACACCACCCAAACTACACAAAAATACCCCTGCCGCAGCAAACCTCAGACTAAGCGAATTTCAATCAGCCTGATTGTATTTTAACTTCAATTAAAATATCTCCTTAAAATGTCAGGTTTATTCCCTATTTAAATAACATTAGTTTAAGGAGTACATAGCTTTGCCGCTAAAGGAAAGGTTATAGAGTGTTTTTTAGAGAAATAAATTATGAAATAAATAAATTTTCCAAATCAAAATATGTTTACTATTTAAGTTTAACAGTATACTTATTTGTTATAAGAATGACATTGGAATATTAAATTTAGGTAGTGTTTTTTGGAACTTTCTCCTTCAGCATTAAGCGCATAACAACGCTTCAGTATACTAAATTATTGATTTTTTAAGCACTACAAAATGGTTTAGAAAGAAATCACAAATTTCTATGTTTTTAGGGTAAAAAATGTGAAGAATCCATTTTCACTCCATAAACACCGTCCTCATTGTCCAATCATGCTGGTTTGCGAATTCGTTTGAATAAACATAGCTTTACACTTTGTACCAACATGGACTTTATCAACATTGGATCATTTTTGCTAGAGTTATCCCGCCAACGAATATATAAATAAATATATATAAATATGAATTTGAACAGATGGATTTTTATAGCCTTTGGGGACATCAAAACAAAAAAGTACATCGGTCCCGGATCCAGGTCTTACCATGAGACCTACGGTAATAGCTTAGTTTCCAATGGGAAATCAGCTAAAAATCTGAATAAATATACTAAAGAAAACCCAATCATGGCAATTCTCAATCATAACACAAATTGAAACTGTACATCTTAACCCGGTAAATATACGATTGTTTAACCCTTTGATGTCAATTTTTTCGGCGAGTATAGGTCGCCATTTGAGCAGTCGGGGAAATGGCGCTCAGCGACCTATACTTGCCATTCGACCGCAAAGGGTTAACATAATCGACACAATGAAGAGCTCAATCAAAGACATTGAATCAAGTCTGTTAGAGAGCTGCACAATTGACAATCTTGAAAATTACGACAGAACAACTTATGATGGCTGCCGAAATTGGATCTACCCTATTTGAGGATAGAATAAATACTTGAGAGACAACATCTTGAATTGAGAACATAACCAACAACCATTGAGCAACAACTAGATGATTCAAAGCAAGACAAAGAAAAAATGTTTCACAAAAATATAATATTAAATTCAACAATTATTCTACCTTCTGTGTGACATTATAAATTCAACTATAAACCAGAGATAGCAAAAACAACTTTGCCAATAGCCAACACAAAGTTTGAAGAACATTACTGTCATCAGACCCAACTAAATCAAGGATATGTATGGGAAAAAAAGAAATCTGAAGACTATAAAAATGAACTTCTAAAAAAATAACAATACAGTAAAGTCCCGCAAACTCGGCATTCGATAACCTGGCAGTCTGGATAACTCGGCCATCACCTGGCTCAGAAAATCAGTGATTTTTTGAGTCCAAGTAAAACGTCCAAGGATTTGTTGTACTATAACTGACGACTTAATACTGACTTTTAATATAAATATAAATAAAAAAGCAGGTTAAAAAGCTTCACAATTCTATTGTTCTTATTTTTAACCCTAGTTCCCGATAACCCGACATTTCACAAACTCGGCACTAGGGGTGTGCGAAGCAGCAAAAAATTTTCGATTCGAAGCAACGATTCGATTCAAAAGATTTTCGATTCGATTCGATGCAATTCGATTCTAAGCAATACGGTATTTTTCTATTCATAATTGTCAATTGAGTGGATTAACAATAAATTAAAATTTACCACATTTATGTAAGACAAATTTTTGTTGATGTGGTATTATAGGCCTATTCATACTTAACATATAAATTTTAGGTGAACAAATATTTATTTTCAATCATATATTAGAATAGCCTGTATTGCTGGAAATACCAGTGAGCTGCTTTACTTGCTTATTTCATAATTTTTACTTGGAATTGGCTCAACTGCAAGAAAGAAGAAAATCTTTTTTTTATCAAGACATTCATTCTCATTTTAATAACTGTTTAAATAACTAAATAGGTAGCTAAATTGCAACAAATTTGAATGGAACTTAATATAAAAAGACCATTAACAAATCAATTAACATATCACAAGTTTAGGGCCTGTGGACCGGCTTCAGGACTGCAAGCAAGAAGAAAATAAAAATAATATGTTTCCACCATGCAACATGTATCATTCATTCCCTGCCTCCTTAGTATAATAACCTCACACTTACATTATTTGTTACATCATCATAAATAAAGAATCATCTATTATTGGCATCAGTAGGCCTACAGCTTTACATAGGCATTATTTTTTATAGGGCCTAAAATAGTAATAGGCTAGAAGCAACATGACAAGTGGAGAACTCATTGAAGAAAAGATATTGTGTAAACTAATTTACCATAAAACTCAAAAACAGTAAATAACATACAAACATTGTTTATGGTAGCCTATAATTAATAAGGACTAAAAAATGCATATCATGTCATACAGTAGTATAGACCTACTGCAAGAGATTAAAATCCTAAAACAACTGATTTTGATAGCTAATGAATGAAAAGAATTAAAAATCCATAAAATAAAGCCAAACAATATCACAATTAATTAGGTACCCGAAAAGTAACTCTTAAATAATATATAGAAGATTAAAATAATATTAAATCAAGAGATAGTTAAATGCTAACTTCTAGTGCCCTTAGCAACACAGGTCAATGTTTTTAAACTACCCTCAATGTTTTTGGAACAGCAGGGTCTTTTTCTCTGAAGGAAGGGTTTGTCAACAAAAACAATGAATCACTTTCACTAGCCAGGCCCGGGCAACGATGTGTGCATTCGGGCGTACTGATTTTGAGCACGAAAACCCAAATCACGGTGAAATCGAGCATTGCACTGAAGCGGCAATAATGGGTTCCCTAATCCTATGGTGATTTCGAGCATTTGGCCTTCCTAGAACTTAAAGGATGATTAAATAGGGGAAGATGGGAAAAACATTCAAATCAAACTACCACATTTATTTTCTGACCTTGTGGCCCACAAACTTGACAAAATTTAACAATATAATGTGCGAGTCCCTCAATTGTTTTAGTTTTATATCGATAAACTTTTGCCGTACTAGGGTGTCCTTCCTTTGCTTTGATTCTTCTCTGCGCAACGCACTGTTCATTTGTACGTACGTTTTTGTTTGAGCACTTAGTAAACATTTCATGAAAACAAAAATTTGTGAAATATAAAATGGTTTACGTTACCTTTTCTGTCAAACGATCCCTTATGTATATCTAACAAAAAACCACTAAGTGGTAACACTTTCCCCGCCAAGTCAGCAATCCAAAAAAGATAATAAATCATTACTTTTTCCGCCAAGAAAAACAATGTAATGTATGTAAGTTTGGCAAACTTGGCAGCAGACTTTTGCTTGGATTTTTTTCATTGAAGTTACGTTCGTGGATAATTTCACAAATCAACTTCTCTAATTAATTAGTCCAACTAAGTATAATAATTTTGAGGTAATCAGTAAATATAAAACCATCACTATTACGAGTTTATGAAATGTGGCACAAATAAGGTCAAATTTTGTAAAATAAGCTCTCACCTAGCAATGTACTAATGGGAGAGATACTTGCTCGATGAAACTAGTTTTATGGCATTTTTTAAAGTGATCGAGCAAAAGTCTGCCGCCAAGTTGCCAAACTTACATACATTACATTGTTTTTCTTGGCGGAAAAAGTAATGATTTATTATCTTTTTTGGATTGCTGACTTGGCGGGGAAAGTGTTACCACTTAGTGGTTTTTTGTTAGATTTTATTTATTTTTGTAGAAAATTAACAGTTAAAATAAAAATCCTCCTTTCTCTGATATATAGACCACGGCACAACTACATCTCATTTAATTTCAATAATATTGTTTGTGTAGAACTAAATTCTACATTTTTTGTCTTATCTGCTTTAAACCGATTAAAAACTTTTTGACACACGTACCAAAATTACTATTTAACAAACCCCCTGGGCTTAAACTCAGTTTCAAATTTCATCAATGGTCATCTTGAACAACATGAAATGCATAATGTTGATATTGTAGCACAACGGATTGAGTTATCAAATAATTAAATAACTTACGTCATCAATCCATAAATTTCTGTGGAGTACGCGTTTCAACCATCAGGTCATCCTCAGCTCCACTGTCACTAGGTTGAATCTGTTTCTATGTTGCATTGATTTTGTAGCAACAACGTCGATATATTAAATAAATAGGACAAACACATTTTATCCTATGCGGAGTGTAGCCGCATACCTAAGCCCGTCCAGCCGTGCGCACGGTGTTATAATCGTAGTTTTATCGTCTTTTAAATGTTTCGTACGTGTCGTGTATATGTCATGAACGTAAAATGTGTTTGTCCTATTTATTT